CTGAGCAAGCAAGGTAAGTTCTTGTAGGTCAGACATGGTTCATCTAGCCATGTGTTAAAGGTCATTTGTGTGTTATGAGGTGACACGATCTTGCAATTTGTTCATTCTTCAACACTGCTTCCTTTTGACAAGAGTTCTCTTTTATAAGTTCATTCTTGTTTCTACAGAGCAGCAAAATATTTCTTGTATAGCCTGTACCACCAGGTTTGGAAATGAGTGGTTTAAACAGAATGCGGGATCTTTTACATTTGATATGTGACGGTAACTAAATTAGTAATAGGTGGAGAGTGTCAAAAATTAAGACTCGGTAATAAACATCAGACATGATTGCATGAAACATTGAGTTGTTTGATATATTTGGTTTCTTACCATTTTTCTGATTCTGTGGATTGTGATTATTTTGAGTGCAACGAGTCAAGAAATACAGTCTCAGATGTTCTTTTGTAATCTGATAGTTCTGTCATTGCTTTAAGTATGCAATGTTTATAGGGACACATGTCAGGAATAAAACAGGAAGTAAGTATTATGTAACATTAACATACTTTATTCGTCATGAAAATCACAGCCCTTAGTTTATAGACATTATAGATACAACAACAACCCTTTCATTAATACAAACCAAACAATTCCATTGCATTCTTAGCGTCATGGATGGAAATTTGCCTGCCAAAATACACAGACTATCATAATTTGATGTTTTGCTTTCAGATTTATCACAGCAAAAGAAGAACTTAAACAAATGAATGTCTTATACGAAACTCAGTTTCAAAATTAAAAATATATACACATATTTCAGCATACAGGGATTAAATATGCGGATACCTAAATTTTTGTAATTGATTGATTAATGGCTATCAAATAGATAATTTCATTTCTTTTTCATTAACAATAGAACGGTCAGTTAATGAGTGTCATAACGTGGAACAAAAAGATCTCATTAATTCTGGTACAGGTCATCCCCATATTAATCTGTTATTACAAATATAGTTGATGCAGTTTAATCTTAATAGTTCATATGGAATTGGTACTGATCATTACCCTATAAAATCACCACATATGAAGTTTATATGAAACTACTACAATTTGTCTTATGATTAACTGTCTGATGAAGATATGCTGAAGAATCTGTTTCGAAGTATACACATCATTAACCTTTATCATATGGGAATAAGAGACTTAAATTCGTGTACTATGGGGCTCCTAGCTCCTTGGTTTATGGGTTTGTGGCATGTTACTGTGATACACAGGAAGCTCAGTCATGTGCAAACTACCACATGCGGATGATAATAGTTAAAGTACAAGTACAGTGCCTTTCAGATTACCATATTCACCAAAATATGATGCAGGGATGTGTTTCATCCCAGTTGCCCTATATTCAGGAAACAATGGTTATTGAGATCTTATATAAATAAAACACTCTGGTGGAACCAGTCAAAAAGCTTACAGTTATGATCACAATAAAGGCAACAAGATCAAACGGATTGTGTGCTTTTTTAACATTTATAAAATTAATTATGAAATAGACTTTCCCTGTACAGTTCATAATTTATATATCTGAATGAAATCTGTAGATTTTGTATAATGGATATGAATATTGAATGGTTACTTGAACATCATACAAATTGCAACACTGAATATTGCAGGTAGGGTGGCTAGTAAATGTTTTTATATAAAAGCTAGTAAAATAGAATAATCAATGATCTACAAGTTATTTATAGCAGAATGATTAGACTAAAGTTTTTGTAAATATCAAATTATTTAAAACTGGATAACAGAAAAGTCTTGGAGAATTTAAGAAATCTTTAAAACATTTTAACATTTATAATTCATGTATTTAAAACTGGATAACAGAAAAGTCTCGGAGAATTAAAAAATTTTAATATTTATAATTCATAAACACAAAAGAGACAAAATCTTGTACAGGAAAAGGTTAAACGCATTTGCTCACCCCAATTGCATGAACATGGAGTTTCAAATGTCTGAATTCCATTCCCCTCTGAGTGGGTTAGTTCACAGTTTCAGAACTTGTGGAATATCTGGAGTAACACGAACAAAGAAAGCAATCTTTCTAACAAAACTTAACAATTATCAAATAAAGCTTTGTCATTATAGTAGTTGGTTTATTAAAATCTGTAATAAAATATAGATTTGACTTACTAATATTTCATTGCACCTCTGAACTAAATCCTACACGGACAATAAACTTTATTACATCACTTTGTGCTTGTAGAAGACAAGCATAGTACATCACACAGACTCCATAATAGGTCTCATTAATTATGAATTCATACACTCTTTATAGTGAGAGGCACGATACTTTTTATTATTCAGCTTCTATCAGCATTAATAGATTCAGTGTTTCATAATTGTAATACACAATAATGTAAAAAATAAAAATAAATATTTTTGTTCTTAAATCTTTCTGACACTCTGTATTCAGAGTCTGTTTTACTTTTCTTGTGTGTGAGTAATAAATAAAAGAGACTCATAAATTTCAATTCATTTAAACCTCACAATTATATCACAGTGAATGAGTGAATGATAGAATGGTTCTTTCTTGTATGTAATATTTGAGACTGGTGAGAATTTTTCCTTACAAGTTTTTGTATTGCAAGATAATTTATATAATTGATTATTTACACACAAAATGACCAAGAATAAATCATGTAAGTATTATTTTACTTAAGGCACAAATTTGAATGGAATCCAGGGAAATTATGTCACATTTCTTTTGCCCAACTGAGTCATCTCAAAACCCAAAGGTGCAGTTAGAATGTTCATAGTTTGGTTTACCCGTATGAAGCAGATCCTATCACTCTTCATCCCTTGATGGAATGGAGGATGTAGTGAGAAGTGCACTGTATTTACTTTCAAGTGGTTAAAATCCCTTCATTAATAATTGATAGGTCTTTTACCATTTTCTTTTTTTGCCAGTTACATTGGTTCTGAACCCTGGATGCCATGTTTCAGGTATATCTCACACCATTCCAGCACATTGTCATTACGATCACAACACATTGGGTATACTTTTATTGATTTGGTTGATTTGGCGCATCTTTGACACACTGTTTCTGCTTCAATCTGTAAAATGTGAAAAGTGATTTAACTTACACATTTGATTTCTTTACATTGCAGCACAAGAATGGAGCAGAAGATTGGAAGGTTCATATAAGTCACATAGAACCCAATGAAGTCAGGATATTTGAAAGAAGAAGAAGCATTGGACATCCAAATAAAAGATGGCGAGATTGTGTGGAGAATGGGCTCATTATTTGTACATAAACCAAGAACCTTTTTTTCTATATAAAATATGACCTGTTTATTATCCATGTTGTGCTGTAAACTGGGGATTTTGTGTTACTCAAAAAGCTTGAACAAAATGAAACTTGGATGTCCCAGTAAATACAGCTTCAAACTTATGCAGAATATGAATAGTAGAAATGTGTCTTTTGAAATAATTGGCTGGCCTCTGATTACTTATCATGAGGATAGTGCAGATATGTGAAAGGGACTATAGATAGTTTATATTTTTATAAGAATCAGTAAATATAGAAGATAGTTGGAATATTTAGGAATGATGTAAAATTTCAGTGTTCCCAGAAGATTCTGTAATTATCAACCCAAGATAAGAAGAGACCAAGGACATCAATAGAAATGATGAGCTTTTTATATTTTAAATCTTAAGACTCCATTTGGAGCCAGAACAGAGTAAGTAGCCTAATCCTTGACGACGATGAATTTGTGGTGTAATTGATGGTAAGATTTACATCAGATTCACAGGGCTGCACATGGTGATGATTTTACTATTAACCTTATGAGACAGTTATTATTATCAGATTGGCAGTGGCCATAGTTGTGGTGATTGTGCTATTTGTTGTAATTGGTGTGGTATTTGTTACCTTAAAAAAACTACATTTATCACTTCTAATTTAAATTATTCCACTTATGAATATTAACAGAAATACTGTGATAAGAGGTGCACATATTTTTGTAATGACTTTCTTTCATGCCTAAAGAAAAAAATTGCTTTATATTTGCAGTCACTGTTCAAAACTCTATAAACATATATTCTGAGGTGGGTGATTTCTGATATTCCCTTTCCAGGTGTCTAATATAAATAATATTGTGAACTTCTTTGTTTAGGATTTTTTCTCCCTGTTCTGGTGACAACAGTAGATATGCCACTGACTTTATGAGTTATTATATATGGTAATGTATCAGAATGAGTAGATGGAAATATTTTAGTGAGATTTCAGGTTATTGCATTGGCAAATATGATGACAGCCTTCTGGGAATGGCCTTACGTGAAGTTCCATGAATGCTTGTAAAGTGGCTTAGAGTTGTTTGATGGGGTCAGAGATGTGGATAACATTTTATAAGCCAGTAGAAACAATGAATCAAGAATATTTTTGCCACAAGTTGGCCGACATTTCAGAGGTACTTGCTACCTTTGTCTTTAGGCAAATGATGGGATTGTATTTCCTGTATTAATATTTTTAGTTTTATTTGGTGACTTTGTCTGGGATGAGAAAACTAAAATGAAACCAATATTGATATTTTTTATGACCCATTGCTTGCAGTAAGCCATTCCACTAGTAATTTTTATTTATGCTTACTTACATCTGACTGACAATGTGTAGGTTTATTCATGTCTTCTTCTGTTATTTCTTTCATGTCCCATGCCTCGTATGTAGGATAAGCATCGATGCACGTTGTCGTTATCATAATCATCAGTGCTGCTATCAGGCCATACACACAGGCCTGTCAACAGAAAAATTGGTTACATTGTGTGTCAGAACTGGGTAAATGTTTACATAATAGGGCTCAGCAGTTAGTGAATTTGAGTTCTACTTTTATTTATATTGTGTAGGTGAGAAATGTCACTAACATTGATGGAATAATTCAAATTAAAGACTGAATAAATCCAGTTCACACCCTATTCTCTTAAGACCCATTTTAATAGTATCACTTCTATGCCCAGTTTCTGAAACTGGATGTCCTAGGGGGAACCATTTTTGTTTCAACCACGACGCGTTCGGTTGAAATAAGGGTAGGGGCGGATTGCTAACGTTCGGTTATTGTATGCACGTGTTATAGATATAGACCGAAACTGGCCAATGTCGAGATTAGCTAGCTTGTGACAATCTGAGTTAGAAAGTTGGACCCTCAGTGTGCCTCGTGTATCTTAACCTAACAATATCAGTGTGTTAAATTGGCACACGAAGATCAGATTAAGCTGGGTACAGTGAGAACTTGATTTTTCAAGGTGTGTAATCTTGGTAATAGTTTAGATCTCAAGCGTAACATACAGATTAGGAGTGACCAGCCTGGAATGAAACAGCTGGGTGAAATGATACCTCTGTCATTTACAGATGTATGTATCGAATGATTTTAAATTTCGTGCTGTCAGGTTCGTCGTGTTGGTACTCTACTCCAGTGAAAAACATCGTGTTTAGAGAACGCGTTTCTCAAGCTTAGTGTGTATAAGTGTTTTCTGCCGTTTTGCTCATGATTTCATAGTCGAAGATTATCTGCGTTTGCAGTGTGAGATTTGTGATCAGTTTATTGATACAGATATCCAGTGAGGACTTTGGACGTAAGTCATATTTATTACTAATTGCTTCTAGTGTTTTCTTTCTTTCTTATATCATGATTAGGAAAACAAATGCAGCCAACTTTGGGTTAAATGACAAATTAGGCTTGTGTATGGAATCTGTATACATCTCAAATGGCACAGAATATTTTCCTTTGTTGGCCGATATGTTTAATGCTCGAATTGGTGTTTTCAAACTTAATTATGAATGAATTAACTAAAAACTATATTTTAAAATTGATTATTTGAATGTTACTTTGTTATTAATAGGAAAGTGCTGCTTTCATTGTGTTATACCGATCTGTTTATCTCCTCTGTGCCTAATATGTTATTCATGATAAAATGACATGTTCTTTAATCTTTATTGGTAAACATAATAGCAGGACATGTCACTTTGCCCAGAGCCTTGGCCTAAAATGACAGACTGTGAACATCGATAATATTTTTCTTAAATGGCTATAGGAAGGATGACTAGATTTATGTGTAACATACATCTCTTCGTATTCCATGCGTTAAAGAAAGCATACAGACACACACCCAGAGGTCAGTGATAATGTCGGTTTATATTTACTCTGTGTCGTTTTAGGTCAATCTTCCCTGTCAACTCTTACTCGAGAAGAAATCTAGTGTGATCAGTACTGTATTTATATTAACCAAACCGTCATAAATATTTCGCTTAAATTGTATTTTGACTGAATACCTCCGCTAGAAACAGATCGAAGCCTAGTAATGTAAGGAATCGAATCTAACTAAAACAAATTTATAAAAGGAAATGATTATCGTACGTACAAAAAACGAGTCTTTTAGCAAAAATGCGCTTCTCCTTAATAACCTAATCTTTACTTAAAATAGTTTTCGATATGAAATACTTATGTTAGTGTAGTATAAATATGTAAAAGTGCGTTTATCGGAGTTGAGTGTTGGCCAAAAGAAAACAAATTGTGTTCATTAGAAGTGAAATTAGACTCTTGGGCTACTGAAATTCGAGAGAACATTCCAGTTTTTTTAAAAAAATATTAGACAACATTAATAGAAATCTTACACGAATTTTAAGAAGTTGAATATTCACACGCTATAATTAGAAAAATGCAATGTATTTTCTTTCATAATTAGAGTTTGTATCACACAAACTGGTTGATCGTCGATAGTTTTACACAAAACTTTTAGACAGATTCCCACAGTTTATCTTTTTAACACCATCAAACTTAAATCTAAATATATAGGCCTACAGAGGAGCTGTAAACATGATCACTCTAGTAGATCTGTAGGTTCTGATTTATTGAATGCTTTGCTATGTAATTTGAGAATTTAGCTCTTTTTAAACGTTCGTGCTATTTAATATGGGCTACAATAGGTTTTATTTAACATATGTAGAATTCAACACACGTATGTCCAAATGCAGAATTCGCAAGTGCGGCTCCCACTTCAAAAATATGCAAATATATTCACACTGCGAAGGCAGAAATTATTTTTTGCTTGTGTTCAAATACGATCTGTAAGTCATCTTGATGGTCCCGCGTCGTAGCCGCGCGGTCTGAGGCGTCGTGCTTCGGACCGGTGATATGAAATGCGCGCTGGTTCGAGTCTCGGGGGAGAAGAAATTTTCTCATGAGCTTTCGACCAGTGTATGGTACCGGTGCCAACCCAGCATCGTGAGGAAATTGGGGAGCTACGATGAGTAGCGTATTCCAGTTAGGAAAGCTAGCAATGGCTGGGAGACTCGTCATACTGACCACACGTCATCCTATATCTGGTTGGATGATCGTTCACCTCTGCTTAGGCATGTGAACGCGAGGCCAGAGCTTTGGCTCTCAGAGGGCTGTTACGACACGGATTAATATTATTATTATTAAGTTATCTTAATGAGAACCATGTCTTGCGACATATGCAGATTTTGTTTATATTAAGCCACTTATATAAAATAAAGTTATGTTTGAAATTCGTATTAAAGTAAGGGCCACATTTTACGAAAATGAACAAAAATTAAATATTCCGAACAACTTATATAAATTTAATCGAAATCTTCAAGCACTTTTGTAAGTGAATCGTGCCGGACCGACGATGAACTTCTCGTTTTGAGACAATTGCATGGAATTTAAAAAAATAAAAAAAATAACGCATGATACAAAATACTAAACCGAAAATCATTTCCTCCTAGATAAGCCAGCTGCCTGACTGATAGAAGAATATTTATTTTATTAAGTTATAAAACTTTCGTTTGTACTTCTGTGCGTCTTCGAGATGCTTTATTATATAAAATAAACTAAGAATTCGGACTAAATCACGTATTCCTTAACACGCGGTATCGTTCAATATGTTACAAAGATTTGAAAACTTATTTTGTGGTCCTACCTTCTGGTGCCAGTTTCCTCCCTCCATGGTGTTCGCGTTGCTATTGGCAGAGTACAGTCCTACAGGCCATTGCAGAGCTTCATATACTAGCAGAGTGGAGTCACGTGTATACAAGCAACCCACTGCTTCAAGTGATCCATAATATTTTTAAAAGAGTAATGTAATTATATCTGACCAATTAGTTGTAAGTGTTTGGCAACAAACCATT